TACCGCACTACTTGTAGAGTTCTAAGTCAATTTAGTCAAATCCAAATTAGGCAAACATAACTCAAAGTAATATATATATACCTAGTGAACAGACGAAAGGTACCATCGAACCTAGAGGCCCAGTAACCACGATATCACATCACGCTACCGCCATGGGAAGAAGGAACGACAAGGCTCCAACAACTCAGGCTAAGAGCTGTTAGGAACAACTGCGCTTAGCATGTGCTCTACTCGTGATTTAGGCTCACAGGGAAAAACCTGATCATAAGGCAGAGGCAACGACTGGCTGGTTCTGCTGATAGTAGTAGTGTCATAGTAGTAGTAGTACTATTAGAACTAATAGCTAGTAGCATGATCAAGAAGCAACTGGTGGTGGAAGCAGTGAATAGCAATACAACAAAATAGCTACCACCACTACTACTAGTGGAGGAATGTTTGACTTGAAATGCCAAAAAAATGGATCTGCTTGGATTCAAAGTTGACAACTTGGATTCAAAGATGATAACTATGATTGAAGAGCACTTGCGCGCTCGTGCGTCCGTATTCAATTGTTATGAAACGCGTAGTATGATGTGCAAGGAAGGCTATGTTACGCGTTGTTTGCCTAATGCGGATTTTTGCGTTCAATTAGCATAACGAAAGGTGGAAAAACATTTTTCTTCAAAACTGGTGGGAATGCAAAATGTACATGTGCTCTACTCATGATTTAGGCTCAGGGAAAAACCTGATCATAAGGCGGCGGCAACGACTGGTTCTGCTGATAGTAGTAATAGTATACTACTACTACTAGTAGTAGTAGTGTCATAGTAGTAGTAGTACTATTAGAACTACTAGTAGCATGATCAAGAAGAAGCAACTGGTGGTGGAAGCAGTGAGGAATAGCAATACAACAAAATAGCTACCACTAGTGGAATATTTCTTGACTTGAAATGCCAAAAAAWTGGGTCTAAGAATATGTGCTGTGTTCTAGTACTGGGCTAAGGATGACATCATTAAATTAACTATAGGAAACACTTTCTTGGTGCTGTGATTACTTGTTATGACATATGTAGTAAATTGTTGTTGCTACTACTAGTAGCAGTTGAAGCCCTCATGAGAACTTTTATTCTAAATTTAGAAATTACTAGAGATGAGTTAAGGATTGCCCTCCTCTCCTATCTATTAGCTACTAGTA